CCTTGCTTGACACCACCGAGTCGGTCCTACACCAACACCCACTCTACACTCCGGGTGGGTCACGACCCATCGCCATATCCGGACTGGGAGCTTCCACCTCAACAAGGAACAAGGACGCTACGAACGGGGCTCCTGGCATCGCTACTAGGCACCAGAAGCTACCAACGGGGCGACCCTGGCCTTACTACGAACGGAGCGATCGGACGCTACGAGGGCCGGGGCGATCGGGGCGATCGGGCGCACCACGCACCTCGACCGACCCGACCAACCCCCTAACCGCCTTCGCCGTGGCCTTCGCCGTGGCCGTCCACCTCGGAACCGGCGGTTGCGCACGGTGAGGTCGGGTTGGTGGTTTCAACTCACTATAAGATAAAGGTAGTACGTGGTTGTCAGTTGTCAGTGGGATCAATCATCCCAAGCAAAATCAACAAAATCATGAAACCTTCTGAAACCACCATCCAGTCAGTTACTGTCTGCTTAAGCGACCTTCACTGTCCTCGGCAACCTCTTGAAACTCCGCAGACTCCGCAGAAGTTCCGCCGTCTTCCGTTGCTGCCCTTCCGTCTCCGCCTGCCCTTCCGGCCCCGGGGCCTCTTCCGCCGCTTCCAAACCCCCTCAAAACATCGATCACCGTGTTCGACCGGTCGACGGTCGTTTCTCCCAGTGTCGACGAGTGATCAGAGGGACGTCCATTCAAGTCACCTAGGCATTTCATTCATTTCATTTCAAGTCACCAGACATATCCTCCTCTGGTGTCATCCGCGAAAGCAAGTCTCCAGAACCTTTGGGAGGGGGTGGGGGGTCCTCCTCCTCCAGAAAACTTCCCTTCACACAGAGTGCCTGCTGCGCCCTGCACATCCTCCCAGCTCACACCACCTGCGCAGGGAACAGCTCTACGGGGCGCCAAGGCCCGCGCGCCCGCGCAGGTCAAGGACTCCAAGGCACCCAGGCCTCGGAGACCGTGCATCGGCCGGGTATGAAACCTGGAAAAAGGGGCATGAACCCTGGGAGTCAAAGACTATAACAAGAATGGTCTGACTAGGGGACCTGATTTCGGGAACTTCCTTTACTTCAGCCGGTCAAAATTTAGTCCAACTGGACTTCAGCCGGGTGAACTGATCGGTTACGAGGGAGCGATGCCAGCTACGTTCGTTGTTGCACACGTCAGAAGCTCTGCTTGTGAACCGCCTGCAACGAAGTACGAAGTACGAATACCCCCGGTCACCACACCGCTGTGCCCTGTGCTCCTGGCAAATGCGCCGCTGCCTGAGCGACCAGCGCCGACCCGGGCGAGGATGGTCTGACTGGATCAGCTTTCATGCAGCGAGCTCCTGTGGGGCTCTCCCACAATGGACGTGCTGTGTGTCGTCCGTACCGGATGTTGCGCAGGCGCTTTTGGTTGGTTCTTCTCATGCATTTCTGGCGCTTTTGGTTCAATCGTATCCAGCCAAGGAAGCAGAACTGGTCTAGAGAAATGATCAGGTGTCTTTGGCCAATACATCTTCATGTTCTGCATCTGATTAAATTGGGAAAATACCCACCAAACTCAATGATTGTCACTTCCCCAAAAAGAGCATGCTGTCAATGCTCACTCTTAGTTCATTTGAACAAAGAGATGCGCTACCTCTACCAAACCTGTTCCAAAGCTCGGCATCCACAAGAGCTTCCAGCCAAAAAGAAAAACGACCATGTCAGCGCCTTTCCACCAGCGCCCAAGACCCTCCCCCAAGACCCTCCCCTGACTCCCAGGCCGTTTCCCTGAAAAGAAAGGTTACTCCCCCTCCGACAATCATGGAAGCGCCCTAGACCATGTTCCGAAGATCAAACAGTTTCTCGCAGGGAGGAGAATCAACCCTTTTGCAGCTGTTCGTTGGTCTAGTGTCCCCAATCCTCCCAAAAAAGATTAAAGGTATAGTCGGTATAGTTACTTCTCCACCTTTCCTTCGTACCAACCCAGACCCCTTCCGTTGCGGCCAGGCCACGCCCACGGCACCGCCGCCAGGCTCAGCGCCAGGTGCGGCACCGGCAGCTCCCCCGGGTCCGTGCCGCCGCTCCAGGCGCGGCACGGCAAGGCCTGGAGCCGGTCATGTCTGACAATGGATGCGGCACCGGCCAAACGCGGAAGGTCAACATCGCGGCGTCGGCTTATACTGCCTTTTATAAATTTCAGGACCCAACGACTTCAACCCCAGGCTGAAAGCACTTGCCGAAATGCTCCCCTTCGACCCCGCGGAAGCTCAAGTCAATGCATGGTGCCCAATTTCTTGGTTCGGCCCTGGTACCCCCACACCGAATGTAGCGAAAAGGGAAACGAAGGAAAACCTGGAAGAAACATGCCAGGAGTTCCAGGTCCGGGTGCCTAAACTCACGAGGATGTGAATTTTCATGAACGACCAAGAGGCAACCCCAAGTCCAACTAGCACAAAGCTGTTTGGGTTCCCCAAAAACTCTCCCACCAAGCCTTCAGACAGCGGCAAGCCGCTCGAGCGGGCAGATCCGCTGGAGCCTACGAGGAGGTGTTTTTCTGCCAAACACACGGACATTTGACCGCTTGATGCTTGGAGGGCCAGGGCAAAGCCAACGGGGTGGTGGTTTTGGGGATTCCAACCCTCCAGATCCTCAGCACGGGATCCAGAAGGGCCGGGAACTCGACGGATCTCGCGCGTAATGGAGACTTGGGAAGAAAACAGTGGGAGCATGTCATCTGGTGGAGATATGAAGAGCCCCCGTGAGACTTGAGATGGACATGACTTACTGTAGATTTGGTACTATGGGTGAGAAAGGTGTGCAGCCAACCTGACCGGGTCCGCTGATGTCTGCACAAGCTGCAATCCTATAGGCATGCATAGGCCCCAGGACCAAGCTCAAGGGAATCGCCTGCAGGACAATTATTTTTATCGAAGCTGTCAGGAAACTCTTGTTGTTTCACCTGTCTCGGAGTATCAGCCATCCAAAATATGGCTCTTTTCCATTCCAATCCTTTCTTTTGAAAGGGAAGAGAGAGAGAGAGAGAGACCCCTTTTGTCCTTGAATGGGCTTGGCACTGCGGCGGCACTGGACTTCAGACCGCTTTTGTCCAATCCCTTTCCCAAACAGAAAGAAGAACGCTTCGCCGACAGACGCTGCGCACGCGCTGCGGATCGAGTCTCCGCCTCTAAGAAGTTCCAGAGGCGAAAGGTGAGGCACTCCCAAAGCGCTTCGTTCGGCATGGCTACGAGCCGCCACGAGGCACTCCGGCGGAAATCAACGCACGGACGCCATGGGCGGGGTCGCAAGGGCGTTGGGGTCGCGCTGGGGCGGTTGGCGCGAGGTGTGTTGAGATTGCGTGAAGAGTGACCCAATGATTCCCCCCCCCAATAGGTAGGCAAGTCCATCCTACATTCAGAGACATGTTCGACTCCACCTTTCATTCGACCACCTCCAGAAGACTCCAGAAGACTCCAGACAACCTCGCGCGTTCCCTTGGCCTCCTACTGTAGGGCCGGGCACTTCGTCACTTCGAGATGATGATATGAAGACCCACTGAGTTGGAAGCAACCTTCATGCTGGGATCCCCGGTACCTAGCCAGGGCTGCCGGTCATGTTTCGAGGGAAACAACCACTGTGCGAAGAGGATCATCCTCGCTTTCACTGAAGACTGATGCTGCTGTGGTAACTGAACTGCAACAAAAAGGATTGCAAAATGCGAGATCTGTACCTGAAACTCGAGAAGTGATGCAAAGCTGCAAAGACGCTCTCTTGATCATCGGGGCTGACTGAGCTGCAATTATCGCTGCAATCTCATCGGGCTGTTTTTTGAATCTGGAATCTGTGCCACTCCTTCCTGCTTTGTAAACTCTTTGTTGCCAGCAAAACTCAAAAAAACAAGGAAAACTTCTCATGCACCAGCTGGAATGCACGAGACATTGCAAAAAACGGGTGAATGAACTTGGAATCTCCTGTATTGTCAGGTACCTCAGGCAGGGCCCCTAAGGGGTGTCCATTCAAAGCCGCTTAGAGGTTGAGGGGTATAGGTATCAATTAACCACCCCTGGAGATGGTTTGGATTCAGACTTTAACTTTCCTGCAACCCTCTCACACCAAATTGGTGTGTTGTTGCTTGCCTTCCCAGACCCTGCACCCCAAAATCGCAGCCCGTTCTTCCCTCCGCGCTGGGTCGCGGCTTGGAGCGTCTTAAAGCATGTTCTTGCTGTTTCGGGACATTCCAGGTATGCAAGAAGGACTCTCCCCTCTTCTTTCTGCTTCAAGCGACAGCAACCTCGTCGTCCCAAAACAGCAAGGCTGCAGCTTGATGAAGGTCTACTTTGCCAGAATTCTGTGCCTCTCATCAGACGAAATCAGTCATCCTTCTCTTTCCTTGGATTCGAACCATCTGCTCCGAGCAGGTCATCTTGAAAACTGGAAAGAAGAACATGAGCGATCTGATACTATCCCAATATATAAATCGATCTAGCATCTAGCTCGAACTTCTCTACCCCCCCGCGAATAGAAAAGGTCCCCCATGGCACCCGGAGACCGGTTCACCTACCTGGTGAGACTTCGACCTGGCTACGACTGGTGGACTGGTCGACCTCCTAGTGGGGCACGACCCATCTCATCGCATGCTGCAGGGCCCGAGGTTCTTGGCCCCACATCAACGGTCGGAGCCAGGCGTCGTTTTGCACCAGAAGGCGATGGCGCCCACCAGGGCGCCCTGTGAACGTTCCAGGCGGGGCAAAATGGATGAAACGACTGGTCGAAGACCTCATTTTACTGGAGTTCATAAGACAAAAAACACCACTCAATAAGGAAGGGCCAGGTCTTACTGGGTCTTTGGACAACCCCCTACCAATTCTACACCGAAGACAAACGCCCAAAGCTGCCAATTATATAGACCTGCAAGAAACGATGTAGAATGAAGAGAACAACTGAACCAGCAAATACCAGCAGCAGCCCCTCTGCCAGGACACCCCCAGTTCGGTATTGGCGACGAGGTATATTAATATTAATTAATTAAACCTCTAAAGTCCACGCTTTCCGGGTTCAATCACCATCCCAACTTGGTCGTGTTTTTGGTTCCATTCTGTTCCATTCACTTTGCTCCAGACCCAACGGTCAGCGCGCCAAGCACGCATCGGTAGGGACTCGCTCCGGCTTTGCTCGCTCTCGCGCGCCAAACCGCGGAAACGGCACTCACTCGCTCTCGCGTGCACTCGCTGGGGTGCCCCAACGGTCACGCCCCACTTCAAAGGGGTGTCGAAGCGCAAGGCATCCCAGGCAGTGATGAGGTGCACCTCCTGCCGGGAACTCCGATTTGGATGTCGGCGCCCCCGAAGGGTACGACACCGAGGACGAGCCGACGGGTGGCGGTCGGGTCGTCTTTCGTCTCGGTTTTGCCAGGCGAAAACGAAAGGCATGCCTCAAAGAGGCTCCGTTCATGTCACTGCGACACGTGGTACGTCCGTCGAAATCCCCCAAAAAAAACGTTTGGTCCCCAAAGGTTTGCATTCTGGTGATGAAACGAGGCCCACGCGGACCGCAGAAATCCGCAGAAATCCGCAGAAATCCGCAGACTCTTTCTCTCCTCATGCCGCCCCCCATGGCGCAGACCGCGCGGCGTGCACCGCGCCTCAAGGTCCTTCGGCTTCAAGTCACCGCCCGGCGTCACCGTGAGCCACGGCACCCTGTAGGTCGGCGACTTCCGGAGCCTCGGGGGAGCCGGTAGACCTGCGAAACGGCGAAACCAAGGAAGGACTTGGAGAGTGAGAGCACCCCAAAGGGCGCAGGAGAAGTTTGTTTTGGAAGCCCCCTGCCCCCTGCCACATGTCTTCTAGCCACGCAAAAGCCGCAACGAACAAAGGTGTGAAACGAGGTAGACGGAGGTCGATGGTGCCTTTTCAACCATGCCAGCCAGCAGGGTGCTGGCTCCAGCACCGGGAAACCACCACGCAGTGGTCCAGCGCCAACCTAGTGGGAGTTGTCACATGGTGCCAACAGTTCTGGTCGAGTGCCTCCGCTGCGACGATGGCTTGCAAGATGAGCGTAGAGCCAGCTGCGGCTATCACTCCGCCCTGCGCTGTCGTTGAACGCGCTCCGGGTGACGTGAATGGACCCTTTGAGGAGGTGAGGGCAGTCCTCTTCATTCCTTTTTCCTTTCCTTTCGTCCTGATGCGGTCTGAGCGGCATTAATTAGATGCATGTCAGTCACAGGCACCGCCTTCGGCTTCACAGAAAGAAAGAAAGAAAGAAAGCACATGTTGCATGAAGTGCGCTCGCTGGATCTGCTCGGCTCGGCTGGATCTGCTCGGCTGAAGGGTCGACCGGTAGAGGGATCTGCAGGTGTGAGAAGGTGGTCGGACAGGGCCACGTTGTCACAGTTGTCCACCTTCATAGATGCTCGCGGGAACTCGAGAAAAGATACTTACAAATAGTTTCTAGTCCAGTTTGTCACTGGAATCGAGCATGCACAGTGACCGTGAATGAGTTCAAGCCGCCGTCTCCGTCTGTGTGCCGACCACGCGATGAGCACAGAAGCCTAACGAGTGTTTATTGGCAACGCACAGGTCGACGAAGAGTTTTGTAGATCGAGGATTCGCTGAACCAATTCCCTACAACATCCAATTCCCACTGTGATTGTGGCATCACGGCGGTTGTGGGTAATATGGTGCGCACCTGTTTTTCGGTCATATTTGGGAGGATTGCCAAGTGAAGGAAAGGAGACGACCCTGGCACCGCCGTGCCAGTCTTTAAAAGAAACAAACATGTTCAGTGTCAAAAGGTGGACCCTTCTTCAGTGCCACTGGAGGACATGAAAACAACAAAAGAAGAATGCCCCACCGACCCTGCTCTGATGCTGAACGGGTGCCTGAAGAATCCATGGCCGGTCCGGGTTTTGCATCGCAAACCCCAGTAGAAAACCCGGAAAGTCCAAGGATGTACATTGAAAAGAACCAAAAGATCGACCATATGCCATATGCCTCCTTTTGGACCCTTGGATCACGGACTTTTGGACCCTTGAATGCAAGTAAAAATGCCTTATAAAGCCGACAAAAAAGGAAGGTGCTGCAACTTCCTATACATGCCAGAATGGACCACTTCCTTCACCTTCCAAGAAGTCCAGATGCAAGAAAACACTCGGTGGTGGCTTCCACAAGCCTGTGGCGGAAGTCCCAAACGCATCCCAAACGCATGGTGCTCTGTTCAACAGCATCTGGTCTCAGTCCCCTTCCGGCTCGAACGAACGAGCTCGCGGCGACACCGAGGCGTTCGCTTCGTTCGAGCGTAGATGATGGGCGAGTTGGCATCCTCGTCCCGGAACTCCGTGAGGTACCTCCCGCCCGCCGGGGCCGTGGGGGAGGCGGTCGACCAGTGCGACGGTGGAACGCCTAGAATGGCGATCGAAATGTCAGGATCTTTACGTCCTTTCTTCAGTTCGTGACCTTTGGAGTGGCATCCAGTGACCCAGGCCCTTCTGTGACCTCAAGGCCTGGGATATCAAGTTCTGTCACTTGGAAGCAGGGTACGTCCTTTCTTCACCAAAAAAGCTCAACCAAGGCCCCAGGGTGCTGTTCAATGTTTCGACTGACCAGTCGGCCTTCTGTACACTCCCTGGAACTAACATGGTTCCGTGGATGGGATGGCCCCAAGTTCGGAAGACCATGCTCCTCTAAAAACCGGGCTGGTGCACAACTCCATGTTCCACGTTCCTTCGCGGTAAAACATCAACGCTGCGTCACTCACTCATGCGCTGTGGATCGGATCGCCCCTCGGCCGGGCGCACCAGCTATATCTCTTGCCATCCAGCGAGGCATGGACGAGAGCCAACTTCACCTGCCCCCCACGGCACCGCGCGCGGGGCGCGCGCCCCGAAGGGGGACCGGAATCGGGTCTTGGACCTCGTGTGGCGGGGTTTGGTTCGCCCTTGCAAACGGGAAAAGATCATGGCGCGCGCTTGATTCTGGGTGGGGACCACAGGCATGATGCCAGCGAAAATCGCTGCCAATTTTACGTCAACTGGCACTCTTTGAGATCAGAAAACAGAACTCATGCGAGTTGAATCAGCTATGGATACTTGGGTCTATCCTATTACCAGCAACAGCGGATGATGGGCCATGTTTACTGACTGTTACAGGTAATAGGACAGACCGGTCAAGTCGTCTGGCTTGGGGTGTGCCGCCCACCGATGATTCCGAATCGCTCCATGGGCCAACCAGCACAAGGTTCCCTCTGCGCCGAACACAGCGGCGAGCTGCTCCGAACCGCTCGGAACCGATCGGAAAGAGCACTCTTCAGTGGCTGAAACATGCGGAGAAAGGCCCAGGCTGCCCTGCAAAGGTTCCCCGTGGGTTTTGGCAGCCTGGTGCTTCAAACATCTTCAAACGAGTTGGATGGCCTTTGGTGGGACGCTCCGACAACGCGAACCTTCTCCTCGGCGAGTTCTGGCCGACAGGTGCTTATCTCTTCCCAGAATCCATCGCACCCGTTTCACTCCCAAAATGCTCCGAAAGAGATCTTCCTCAGATGCCCAATAATCGCTGACTGTTGATCAATGAAACCCATTCTGGATCCTCTTGGGGATGGGGATAAAGGGACTTTTTATCAATCCACCGTCGACATGACCCTCTTTCAGGGTGTCTACCCCCTTCCCTGTAACCCGCAGGCTCCGCCTCCTTGGCAGTCAGGTTGTGAGCACTGCAGCCCATGGTGCAGCTGAAGACCATGGTCTTCTCCCGCTGCTCCCACGGCACGAAGCGGTCAAAGCTCTTGTGGTAGAACAGGGGCTCAAACCTCAGCAACTCGCCCCTTGCCGACCGTAACAAGCTCGGGAGAAGACAAGGTACTCAAGCTGCATGGCTTGCAGCTTGAGTACATACAAGCCAATTCGAAAGAATGAAATAGCATCGCAAAGGTACGCAATAGATTCAATAGATCGAATTAAGTCTCATGAATCACAGAAAGGCCAAAGTACCAGGACCTCTTCAGATGTTCCGCCCACCCAGGGCTGCCCCGTGCTACCAGTCTCGCTGGCAGGTCGTAGCTCGTGGCGGCCGCCCCACGGGCCGAACGCAAAGGAACAGAAACAGACGAGCGAACAGCGGGCACGGTGACTAGGGTCAGCCGGGCCCCGAGGTTGAACCCGCCAGCTGGAGTGGATTCCGTTTTCAACCCGGACGATGGCACGGAATAGGACGATGGTGTCCTAAGATGGCGCATCGAGAGGACTGGAAGACGGGCAGTATGGATACGATGCAACGGCCCGGAAATCCCGGCTTCCGAAGGCGATGAGAGAGAGAGAGAGAGAGCAAAAGAGATCTAAGAAAAAATGGAGCCCCCCTCTTGAGAGCATGGATCGAGTTCAACTTTGGAATGATTTGAGAGAGAAACATGAAGGCAGGACAGCTTATACGATCTTTTTCTCGCTCCAT